CTATTACCGGTGAAAGCTGAAAATGAAAAGAGGATTTGCAAAAGAAATCGTTACCAGGATGTTTCAGAGCAGTTACAGAATTAAATGAAAACTTTTCTCCCCAAGCCACAAACAAGGCGCTTTAGAGACTAAATCTCCCTTTCTTCTGGTAGATCTGATTATCAACGCCGCATAAGCCCCGAGTTTTACCAACGGGGCCATATGCCCGTGTATCTGCCTGCAGACAAGCCCAAACGCGTGTGTGTATCACTGTGGAAATTACACGGGTGAACTTAGACTGGTAAGTATCTGAACTCCACTCTCAGATTGTGCTCTGCTTAGTATCCTATTCTCCCCATAGTTAGGTGTCTTCTTTCAACATCTCTGTCATCTCCATTTGAAGATATTTTCAGCGGTTTATCACTGCCATCTCCAGCCCTGCGCATTTGCAGCAGGTTATCACAATTGCCAGTCCCCCCTGGCTGACGGGTTGCGCTGATTACCATCACTGCCCTCAGATATTTGGTGCGGATTCCCAGCACTGCAATATCCACTCTTAGGACATCTGGAGCAGATCAAAATCACTGACTTCATTTTTCAGTAGAGTCAGTGTAAAAGCTTCGCACAGCCTCTTCGCAACCGTACCCTGTAGTCAATTCCCGCAGAACCAGCCTTCAGTTAAAATTCGGCCAAGCAGCGACCCCTATGTCTGGATTTGCATTTCTTATCGGACCCCTATCTAAACTGATTTGTTAATAATAAAGAGAAAATCTCTTGGCACTGGATGCATCGCCTTAAGAAACTGGAAGGATCACACTGTCTTAGCAAACTCCTTCTCAAGAAAGGCTGTTTAAGAAGTTTATCTGCTCAATGATCTTTGAATTAGATGAGCGTGGCCATTTAGGTCGATTTACTTTAAACAGTATACAATTTATTTTAAGCGATTACCTTAGGTATAATCACATTATGCCCAGCGCTGTTAGGTATTTCTCTCCCGCCTGATTTCTGATGTGCATCCGCTCTCCGACGGAAAGGTGACTGCTTTTCACTCTCAGCCCAAATCCTTTTTTGCTACGTGACTGTTTATCGTCTTTTAAAACGCTGTTTGGCTAATGAGTTGGCACCGCACTCCTTTTTGTTAGGTCTTGCAGAAAGTTAAGGAGGCGTTCAAGCAACTACAACACAGTTCTCAGGGGGAAAAATGTAAAAAAAAAAAAAATAAAAAAAAAAGAGTCAAAGGAAGAGGTGGGCTTTTCCGAATTATTATTAATTTTTTTTTTTTTAATCTGTATTTTATTCCACCTATTAACAATTTGAAGCTAATTTATGAGTAGGAGGGGTTGATCACACCAACCTTTTGGACTGTTTAGATCCTGGGTTTAGGGAAATATTTTCCTAGCGCTTCGGGCAGCTGCTGCTGATGTTTGTAATTTTCCGTACAGTTTCGTTCTTTTCGCACTTTTGTTATTAAGCTCCTGCTATAGGTCTTGTATGGGAGGAAATAAACCCAGAATCTCCCAGACCTTCACTAAACTGATTTTCAAGCTAAGTAGCTTAGTGTAGCTGCTCTGGTCCCAGCTTACTTGCACAAGGGGGTAAAAAATTAAAAAGGGTTTTGAAAGGTTGCCTACTAAAGTGACTAAATTAGCCGTCAGAAAAAAAAAAATGGGCAATGTCCTGTGCAAGAACAGGAATCGCGTGGGGTTTGGCATTTTCTGATCAGAAGTGTGCATAATTAATTCGCAGGACCTTGCTCATCCTTGCGCAAGGAACTTTGCAGATGAGAAACAAAGCTTTCCTACCAGTCTTCTAACTTTTCCTTCTCCTTGGAGTTTTTTTTCCTTCCTACTTTTAATTTTTTTTTCCCTTCCAACTTGCGTTTGTTTTTGTTTTGTTTTTGTTGTCTCCTTTTTCTTCTTTCCGAAATCACAGTTACAGGTAACCTGCACTTTGTATTTATTTGCTCTATTTCTTCTCAAGGTGAAAAGTAGCAAAGTTCGCTACTAAAGATGCTGAGTTGATAGAAAAGCAAAGACTTTTTTCAATTTTTTTCCCCCTTGTTTTTTGTTTTTTTTTTTTTCTCCCCGAACCGATCCGAGAAGGATGAGAGCGGGTGGGGGAGGGGATGACTCACATTTCTTAAGCCTCCAAGTGGAAACCTTTTCTGGATACACATTCCACACAGATCTAAAGAGCTAAGAAGATTTCGGCAGCGTCGGTGCCTTATCCCACCTTTATTTACCTGAAGCCCTTGTAATGTGACACTTCCATTCGCAAAATAAGGCTGCAAATTTCAAGTCCCACTCAGCTCTGTTACGACGGTGCATTTTTGTCTGAGGGTCGTTCTCCTGCTTTGAAGGGTGAGATTTTGGAGCTGTGCGGGGGAGGTGCTGCTCTCCCTGTTAGACATAGGAAGGGGAAAGTTCGCTATTTCCAACTGATGGGGAAGGAAGTTTAATCAGCACCGTGAGACGGAGCGGTTCCCTGGAGCACGGGGAGGAAAGGGCTGGCCGGGGTTGGAGACACCCCGCGGGGGCGTTGGCAGGAGGGGAGGCATGTCCCTCCACTCCCGCGCGGCCAGCTCCCGGCGGGATCCGGGCTGCCGGGCTCAGCCCGCTGCTGCAAGCTGGGAGAGGGGGCGCGAAGCCCCGCGGAGCGGCCCGAACCTTAGGACTGACTCTCGCTCTGGGCTCGGGAAAAGGAGGGAGACCCCCGTCGTCCCCCCACTCCTCCTTCTTCCCTTCCCCCTCTCCCCTGCCAAACACTTGCATCCCGAAAAGCCGCGGGCCTTTGCGTCTGCGGCCACTCCGCGCCGCGCCGTCCCTTAAGGAAGAGCTCGGCCGCCCCTTCAGCACAAAGACGGAGCTCCTGGGCTGCGGGGACCGCGGCAGCGGGGGCTGGGCCGGGGACGGCCACTCCGCGCCCCTCCGCGGGGCTGCTCCGCCGGGGCCGGGGCCAAAGGGACGGCAGCGCCCGGCCCGGCCCTGCGGACTCTCTCCGCAGCCGGCGGGGCGGGCGGCGGCTGCACTCGTGGTGCAGAGCGGCCCCCGGCAGTCCCACCGGGGCTGGGAAGGTCGGGGCAAGAAACGCCCAGCCCTCGGCCCGCCGCCTCCGCGCTCCTCGTTTTCCACAGCGGGGGAGCTGGGAGGGCCCCGGCAGCGGTAGGAAAGGGAAAGTTTGCGGTGCCGCCCGGGCGGTGCGATGCTCTCTCGGTCCCGACGCGGTTCGGGCGAGCCCAGCCACGTCGGGGAACTGGACAACACCGCAAGCACGGCACAGCGGTGACAGTCAGCCTCCCTTAAGGCGGCCGGGTCCCTCGCAGGGTCCTTTGTCTCCCGCTGCACCTTCCACCCCTCTCCAAGGGGAAAAGAAGAAGAGAGGAAAAAAATCCCTTCTTCTAATCATTGTTGTTAATGATCATAATGGCAAAAGCTCATTTTGGTCCTTTCATGTGTGTGTCCCCTGTGTCCTCACCTCGTCCCTCTCCCTCTGTTTCCCCCCCGATGCGTTTCCTTCTGTCCCCACCGAAACGGGAGGATGGAAGTTTTGACAACCTACAAGACACTCGGTTTCCTCCTAACCCCCTCCCCCGCTCGGGGGCGAGGGCTGGGGGTCCTCTGTGCCCCTCGGCATACATGTTGTGGCTGTTGATTTGCGGGATTATTTATTTCCAGTGTACCGAGAACTGTCGCAATGCCTATGATAATTGTCTCTGAGTGTCAATCCCTCGGCAGGGCATGAGGAGGAGAAAGGGCGGCGGGGAGGATCGCATCGCTGCGGGTCTTTTATTTTTTTTTTTCCCCCTCCTTTTTATTTTTTATTTTTTTTACTAAAGATTCTTCTGGGAAGTACTGCTAGGAGCCTTTTGACTTTCAGCAAAGTTGCGCATATGTGTTCGTGTATGAGTGGCGTTTGTGGGTTGCTGTAGAGAGATCGCATTTATTTATTTATTTATATGTATTTTTTTTTCTTTTCTATTCTTTTCTTTCTTTCCTTTTTGTAGTGGTAAATTGTTACATGTCGCCTGGCTGCAAAGCCCCCTTTTCCTCTCACGGCCACTCTCGTTTGTTCCTGAGTCCAACGACGACAAGGGGGACTCAATGTTAAAGGTGGAAAAAAAACCAGCAACACAGTTGTTTTTGTTAAAAGGGGACACACTAAGGCTGCGAAACAGCAAAACCCCAATGTTGGACAGCTGTAAAATCGTGTAGACAGGTTGTCATACAGCAGTGGGGGCTTTTCTGAAAGGAGCCCATTGCTAAACATTAAATACACTCGGAGCAGAGCACAGCAGCTGCGCGGACACACGCACACACACACACACACACGCACGCACACGCAGCTCCGAGCCGAGCGGCCCGGGCTGGGCTGCGCACCACGTGCTGCGCCGAGGGGGGCGGCGGGGCGGGCGGGGGGCGCGGGGCGGCGCTTCCAGCTCAAGTGGGTGCCAATCAAAACATCAACTTCAAATTGTATCTGAAAGATCAGCCTAGGACCTAAGGGCAGACACATCAGTTGGAGCTCAATTGTTGATCAGATCACATCTAAGGGATTTAGGAGCACAGAAGAGCCGAGATTTGAGGAAAGACACCCCACTGAATCCTGCCACACTCCTCCTCCTCCATACCTAGGGTGCAATATATATCTGACAGAAAGAAATCAGAACGAAAAAAAGAAAATTATCGTCTCGATTTCTTTTCTCTCGCCCTGCCTGACTCCAGTAAAGAGGGGGGGAAGAAAAAAGAAAGAGAGAGAGAGAGAGAGATCCAGAGAAGCCCGGGTTTGTTCCGCTCCCCTCCCCGGCTCTTCAGCAGGCTCCCTC